ACTTAAAGGAAACATACTGAGATCAATTAAAACAGCAGTTTAAAGCCAAGTGTGAAATGTTGACCTCGGTCCTTTCAACATCTCTGACGTGGCATGAAATGACCAAAAACCATGACAGATTAGATCGTCTCTTGCATCTTGTTTGCCAGATCGTTTGTCAGCTTTGCTGACATGGATGGAGAATAGGGAGATAATTTTATGTACAGGTGCCAATGAATGGTTGATGAAAGGACCTTAAGCTGTGGCATGCTAGTTCAAACAACTGCAAATCCACACTTTGGTCAATGATTCCTCGCAGAAACGTTAGATTTATCTTTTGGAAACTAATATTCGATTAAATTAGGTTTGAATTTCATTAAAATTCATTAAAATGGTCAAAGGTGCATGAAAGAAAAAAAGCTATTAATTTGTTATCTTATTAGAAGTTTTTTCTCCATTGTATAACATGTTGCTACACCTTTTCCAAGTCACATAATTAAGTATTGGGATTAAAATGTGATCTCCTGTTGGGATGGCATCCTCCCTTTCCATTTGATCACTCCATCGCCCTTAAACTTTATCTGCCAAACAACCTCAGCTACTAAAAAGACATGTTTGTGTCTCACCTGCTCTCCTCATGCTTGGAGACGTCTCCCTCTTTGTTTTTAGCGTCTTCTGCTCTCCCAGGGTTACTCTTCTTGTCCCCGACGACAGAGCAGCTCGCCGCCTGGCCTCCGTTTGCAGGAGAAGACCCCTGACTTCTGGTCCTGGTCTGATGGTCATAGTGATACAAGTCCTTACCGCCCCTGTTTCCACCACGACCTCCCATGTCTGGAGTCAGTGCCTCCCCGTTATCTGGAGGTCTGAACTTCTTTACTGCCCTGTGTTGACGCTCACCGTTCAATCTGGGGCTGAGACGCTCACTGACGTGTTTGTGACTCTGACTAACATCCAGGTTTTTGCTCTGAGGCATGGGCACTGAATCAGGCGGCTCTGGTATGTTCCTGAACACAGAATCAGTGGGATCCGCTGATTCTGGCTCCACTGATTCGGGTATGTCACCAGACGGAGCTGCATCCAGTGGCGCATCCACAGATATGGAGGAGCCTGAAGGCTGGGTCTTGGCTGGGGAGGCTAAGGGATCTGTCAGATGCTTTATACTCCCTGACGGTGTTTGCACGGCCTTGCGGTGCAGCGAAAGTGGACGTACGTGAGCCTGGCTCGAGGCAGGAGGACCGTCTTTGTCTTCGGCGGGGCTACTGAACAGGATCTCTCGGCTGGACATCTGGCGGTGTCTCCGCAGCTGGCTGGTCCTCTGCTCCCACACTGACATGGTCATCCTCTTTCCTCTCTCTCTCCTGGACATGAAAGAGTTAGAGGGGTTGAGTGGTGGGGGTGGGCGGCCCTCCCTGACACTGCCATGGGCCTCCTCCAGGGAGCAGGCATAGGTAGGCCTGCTGCGGTGAATGGCTCGTTTCCTGTACAGATAGGGCCGCCTCCTGCGGCTTCCCCTGGAAAAAGGA